AATAATAATAATAATAATATTACTGAAATGATAATAATAATACTATTACTGAAATAATAATAATAACAATGATAATATTATTAATATTATTATTATTATTATTATTTCAGTAATTCCTTATCTCGCATCAAATCATCTATTATCTAAACGAAATGACTAGGGAAACAGGACTAAATAGCAAAGGATACAATAATAATAATAATAATAATATTATTATTATTATTACTGAAATAATAATAATATTATTATTATTATTTCAGTAATTCCTTATCTCACATCAAATTATCTATTATCCAAACGAAATGAATAGGGAAAGAAGACTAAATAGCAAAGGATACCAAAATCAACAGGGAGAACGAGGAAAGCACTGTCGGTGTAATGTAACAAGAACAAAAATTACAACGTTAGGTAATAAAACATGAACACGCATGTACTACGAGATTGGAATAATTTTTGGTCGTACTGAGTGATTCTGCCCGTTGTTCCATTATCTGATCCATATCTTCTTCTCCCAAAGCTTGTTGTTGACTTTTGAGGTTTAACACTGCCAGCTGAGAGGCGGAGCCTATTTTGCCAACCAAAGCAAGTATCCCTTTCCTACCGATACAGTTGTCACTCAATAACAAGCTCTTCAGGATTGCCAGTTTGTCAGATAAAGCCCCAGCTAGTTTCTCAGCTCCGCCGTTTCGAATCTAATGAGTAGTAGTTGTTTCAGTAAGTGTCTCAAGGTAAAAGCAATAAATATCAAAAGAATTAACCAGTTGTTGTTGTTTAGATTAGTCTAACATATGCAAACCTTGTTTATCGATAGATCCAGGGCTTCAAGAGAAAGCGATGTTCCAGTAAGTTCTAGCAAGTGGTTAACAGCTGTGTCAGTGAGCCTGTTTGCCGATAATCTCAATTCCTTAACGATAAGTCCATTTCCTATTGCGGTCATAAGCGGTTTCACGTCTCTATCGTTCAACCCACACCCTGTCAGCGACAACAACTCAAAGCTGCAAGGAGTTATGGGTATGAACATGTCTGACAATCCCAGCATGCTTTTCAGAGTATCTGTACCCGACAGTTTGATTCCGTCCAACGTCAGGGAAGAAATTTGTGGTACTCCAGGCGTTGTCATGGCAATGAGCTTGGAAAGATCAGCTACGCTATTGGGCGAAATCCTACATTTCTTTAAAAGGACCGATTTGAGGTTTTCAAGTTGAGGTAGTTTCACGACGTCGGCGGCGATATCATCAGAAGCATTCAATGAGAAGTCAGATAGACAATGAATGGTTACTTTGATCTATAAAAGTAAAAAAACGAAATAATTAAACCAGTCGGTCGCTTAACATATAGCAGGATTGAGAAGAAAACAATTCAATCGACTACTATTTCTTTTTCCTTCTGTTTCTCCATTTAAGGCTACCACAAATTTACCTAACCACGCCAGTAATAAAAACAAAAAAATTCGACGCGAAAATATAATGCTATATTCCAGTGAGTCCTACACTAAAGGCTTTTGAGCGTAAAGGGAAGATTTAAGGCGTTGGGTCAACGGTCTAGGTGCTAAACCTCATGTTACAGGTCTAAATTTCCCTAGCGTGAAATCGTTGTGTCAAGGAAGGTGAGTTTGGGGAAATAAAATGCAATTTGTTGTTTGTATAATATTCTGTTACAAACGTTACTGGAAAAACAGGGAAAATACTCTCCTGCTGGTAACATGGTCTTTATTACATGAACAAGAAAATTACCCGAGGAGGTCAAGGCACAAATGCTTGATAAGCACTCGGTGGTAAGTTGATCATTGTTGGACACATTCAAGTAAAAAAGCTGATTCATTTTTCCTTGAGCCTTTTCTGCCAAAGTCCTCAATGCTTGATTTGTCAGCGAACATCCTGATAGATTTAGCTTTTTAACATTCGATCTTCTTTCCGGCTCAGTTACGCCTGTATGATTAAAATACATCCAAATGTGAAAGTTAGACGATAGGATTGACAATATAAGAAAGCTCAAATACATTGTAGAGTACTAAAAGGTGTAAACAAAAGGCAAGACCAGATAGTTTCCATTCGTCAAGTTTAGAAACTTTGGTTCCCTCAAGACTCAGCTCTTCTAAAGAAGGATGACGTATACAGCTCCACAAAAACTCCATGAGAAATGACAGACAAGACACCTGAACATTAAAAAAAGTCGAGAAATATCATGCATTAGCCAGTCTACAGGTACATGTGAACTCAGCTGCAGCTTGGTGATGGAAAACACAAAGTCAGCAAGCCAGGAAAATTCTTAAAATCTACTGGATCTCATAAAAAGCCTACAAGGAGCTTGGAATAAAAGAAAAAAAAATAAGGAGATCACGCTCTAGAGTAATTTTTCCCTGTTATACTATTCTGCGAAAAATGTATTCGTCTTCACAAATATTAGACAAAGAATAGTTTCCTTTCCTCTTTCCAGTAAACAGTTTGGACCCCGAAGTAATATATGATCGTGTAGTCGATTGTTCGGGCGAGAGTAGCGCCGAGAAGGACAGTTGTCGGTAGTGGTAGCTGATGTTTTGACAACCTGAGCGGAAGTCATTCATAGAGTCGAGTGAAGAGTTGTTGTCAGTCGTGTATTTTAAGTCCGCTTCGCGTAAATTGATTATGAAGAGTTGTTGTCAGTCGTGTATTTTAAGTCCGCTTCGCGTAAATTGATTACGAAGAGTTGTTGTCAGTCGTGTATTTTAAGTCCGCTTCGCGTAAATTGATTACGAAGAGTTGTTGTCAGTCGTGTATTTTAAGTCCGCTTCGCGTAAATTGATTATTCTAAGGCGTTTTGCTTATTTTTTTTTGTTCCATTCGTTTGAGCAAAACGTCCCCCATAAGCAGTTACAGTGTACTGACTGCTTTTCATTTTTGGTCCCAGGTCGTACCATCTAATTCCCCAAAACTGTATCGAGTCCTGTGGTTATATCAACTAAGTTGAAATTGTAAATTGGCCATCGTAAAGAGTTAAAAGGCTAACGTTTCGAGCGTTAGCCCTTCGTCTTTCGCTCTGAGTGAGAAGTCCGGAGAATGACTTCATCCTCACTATTTACTAACAACCCTGTGAAAGACTACACAAGTGCAACATTGTGAACCAAGCCCGCAAATCGGTTTTTACCGTGAGAATGGTAATCACAGTATTGAGCAAATCCAGTGCAAAAATTTAGTTTATTGCATGACATAGATAAACTTACCGGCTGTCCGGCAGCATTCAGACTGAAAAGAGAGCTGTTATTTTCAATTCCTTCCCGCAATGTTGCCATTCCATCGTTCCCAAGGTTAGTGCCATGGACATCAAGATGTCGCAAGCCACATCCTGGTTTCTACGACAAACCACATATCATAAGACTTGTTCACGATACCATTCAACATTATAAAAACAAACATATACTATGCATCTATCTATCCAAGAGTCTGCAAAGTATGACATAGGTTTCCTTAACAATATGTAAAACAGTCGTGTGCAAATTTCTCATTTCATCTTTGGAAAATTTTAATAAAAACGAAGCAATGCTACTTTCACCGTGAGTTTCTTTGAGCGGGAGCAAAATCAATAAAGGCTCAAGCTTGTCGCATTTTCAATGCATGCCAATTATAACACCACCACTTCTCCCATACACTGACCGATGATGAATGAACTCGAGAATATCACTGAAATTTCCAGTGTACACCTTTAACTCTGACAAAAACTAATCACCAGGCCCTCGTTGTTCGGAGGATGGCGCAAAACTTTCCTACTACACTAAAATGCGCTGGATTTCGATTTCTTCGCCCTTTGAACGACTGGACACCGAAAACTAAGTGTAAAACAGAATGCTGCCCTTAGTATGCTAATAGGCACACAATTCATGTACCTGCAAGATTTTTAACAACCTCTCTCCAAACACAGCTCCAATGTGGTTATTACTAGCATCAAGTTCCTCAATTGTTGCATTTCTCTCTACCATTGCCTCGCAAATAGCAGACACTTCATTTGATCCACAACTGGAAAACTTTAACACCTTTAGGGAGTTGTTTCTCATCAATGCTGGTCCAACACATCGCGAAAAGTAATCACTGCCAAGGTTATTCCCAGAAACATCCAGTCTCTCCAAAGTGGAGTTAACGGAGAGCATATCTCCTAAACTTTCCTTTAAGAGAGAAGAGCACAAACATCACATTCACTTAGCAAGATTATTCATGAAAGCTTCTTGTGCTCATTCATATCAAATAAACAAAATATCTAGCTTAACAGTATCATTATATAGACTGAGGTTCGTAACCAATATTATCATGGTTATGTATAATGATGGTTGTCATTAGATGTCAGTAAAATCTTTCTGTATAGCAAAGAATCAGTTATCACTTGGTTAATTAAGGAGAAGGTCGTTCCCCATACTTACAGAACTATCCGTGTCTGCCAAGTTGTTTGCCAAGTTTAAGGATTTTAATGTAACATTTCTTCTGAGAGCCAGACAAATAACACGAAATCCCTGAGGTCCAAGAAGATTTCCTGATAGATCAAGTTCTGTCAAGTGAACAAGCTTTTGGATAAGCTCTGATACAGTCACTACCCCTGGTGAGGGTGAACGCATCAAGTGGAGTGACGTCACACCATTGACATTAAGATCTCTCACAAGATGCCCTGGCGTTAGTTTGCAGGAAAGACGTAGTGCTGCAGTTAGCCTGTTTTCGGCAATGATGTCTCTACAAACTGCAGAATCTAGTGCTTTTCTTTCAACAATTGAAAGACTTCCAGCTGACCTGACATTTTCATCTAACAGATTTATTTTGACATCATCTCTACTCTTATTTCTAGCATAATTTCCTTGGCCACGCTGGAGATTTTCAGTAACTTGCACAACTGGCGCGTGGTTCAATATTTGTGGACCTACCCCTTGATCGTTTTCTTTTTTACCTACTACAGCGCTAGCTTTGTCAACGTTGCCACAAAACAGGGAATCAACAACTTCAGCAACACCTTGATTTACTAAAGGAAAAATATCCGCACTATCAGCAGTTTGTTTAGTAGAGATATCACCATTTTCTAACTCAGTTGTCCTTTTAGTTACTTCTTTCTTTTGGGTAGAAGATTCTTCATTTTCTTGAATGGTTTTATTATCAGTCACCTTAGCAACATCTGATTTATTCTCTACATTTCCTAACTCTATTTCTTCTTCAAGAATTCCTTTCGAAGGTTCTTTCAAATTACTTTCTTGAATGTTTCTAGATTCGACTGCTTCCGAATCCACATCACCCAACTGATTTCCTGACAAATGAGCATCGGCAGTCTCCTGAGCTGATTGATCTGCAGTAGCTGCACCAATTGCTAACTTACTTTTTCCATTTCCACGAGTTCCTTTGGCATGTTCTTCTCTTTCTTGAATGTTCTTAGATTCAGTTACTTCCACAGCATTCAATTGATTTCCTGACAGATGATCAGCATTTTCAGCTGTTTGATCTGTAGTTGAAGCACTACTTAACTCACTTTCACACTCTTCATAAGTTTTTTTGGTACGTTCTGTACTTTCTTGAACACTTTTAGAGTCAGTCACTTCAAACGCATTCAACAGATTAACATTAGTATTCACAGCTGGTTGGTGTGGTATAGTCAGTGTGCCATTTGTTAACTCTGTGTCAGTTTCCAATCCAGACATTTCTTTGGCAAAAGAGTCATTTTTTTCTTGAAAGTTTTGGTTAGGAGTTGTAACAACTTGGGTAAATGAATCATCTGTTTCATTCAGGGAAGTCTCTTTTACCCCACCTCTACTAAAGACACAATAATCTAAGGCATGATAAGAATCTCTATTCTCAGTCCGAGGAGAAACACGTACCTGACCATTTTCATTGCTCTGATCCATGCTAGTGGAAACTATACAAAAACCATCTCTAACTGTAACCTGATGTACTTGCCCTGAACTGCTATCTTCATCTTTTCCATCAGGGATATCATTTCCCTTACCAACACCACTTTCATTGTCCTCTACAATATCATTTTTAACAAATTTTTGCTGTGATGTTGGCTCGTCTGTCTTTGCAGGAGTTGCAGAAATATTTTGTATATCAGATGGTACTTTGTCAGGGACATGTTTGTCTTGCTCCCTCCTGCTCTGTCCCTCCTCCTTTGATGCTCCATTGAGAAAGTGTTGCCCCTCTCCAAAACCAGCTCCCCCAACTGATAGCACTAAATATGTTACAAAATAATAATGTTAGAATGAGTGCCTCACTTGGTTTACATGTGGCAGTGTAGTTATGAATTTCTGCTAAAAATGAGCAAATTCATCTATTTTCAAAAGGATGTGAGTTTAATGCTACAAACATGCTCAATTCAAGGAACATTGTTTCTAAGCTATAAATAACCTATTCCTCATTATGATTTTTGACTTAATCACTTCTTGGGAATATTAAATAACGCAAGAGACATTCAAGAAACAACACTTTCACACTGGCATTTCTACTTTAATGTATAGCTCCTCTCTCTTGCTCTTAATATAAAATGCACAAAACAAACATAAACACTCAGCATGTATATGCTAATATTTTCAACCCCTTTTAACACCATACCAGTTCATAATTATTTATTAATTACAAGATGCAAACAGTGGAACAATCTAGGGCTTCAATATTGAGCAATGGACACCCAATTGATACCAGATACAGTGTTCCTTGAATAAGCCATTAACAATACCTGGGAATATTGATTTCATCCTCTTCCACTGATGGTATCTCTTACTCATTACTCTTCATCACTCATTAAAAAATAATTTATCATCAACACTGGTCACAACATAATTTAACAGTATATATCCTTAGTGTAATTAATAATTCATTTATAATTCATTTATATATCCCTGGTGTCACTGATGAAACAAGTTCACATAAAATGTCTTCTCACCAGATTTTATTTCGTTCTTGTTTGGATCAAAATCATTTCCTTCTCGTGCTTCATCCACTTCTATTGAATGAGCACTTGATCCACATCCCATACTCTAGAATTTTTCACTCACTGGGGATATAACACATGGTTATTAAATTTTCATTTATTCCACCAGCATGCATTCAATATGAGATCAGTTATAGTCAACTTGGCACTATGGGCCTCCCTGGCTATATACCACCTTATATCCGATGCTCTGCCATGGAATAGTTGTTAATTGTATCCCCATTAGTATAATTATATCATAATAATTTTAAGCACCATGTCCACACATCATATATATGCAATGAAAAATTTAAAATCAATGAAATTTCAGAGACACAATATTGCTTGTACTATATGCACAGAAAAAAGTTTCCCTTCTCAGACATAATACAATGCACCCTCTTTACCAAGCCTCTCATCTAGATCAAGAGCAATAAGATTCCCTCTCAGTAAGCCCATTTCACCCTTCTTACCTCGATGGAAACTTTATTTGTGTACTCTTGGGTGGGGCACGATTACATGAAATTGTACTTGTATGTAAAGGCCTGGAAAGTGCCTGTCCTAACCAAAGCAGACTCACACTGCAAGTAGCATTCATTACTGGATTTTCAACTAGCCTTCTTCATCTGATAAGTAAGCCCCCCTTTCCACCAAAGTTCCCTTTTGGGAGGTCTTCCACTACATGACTGTTGTGTGGGGAGGTCAAGGGTTCAAGCCTTGGCTGGACCAACACTCAGGGTCTTAAAATAACTGAGGAGAATTTGCTACCTTTCTATAATATCAAGAAATGGATAGATATTCTAGTCTTCTTGGATAAGGACAAGTAAACTGTAGGTCGCGTCTCCTGCAGGGTTTGGGGTGGGAGATGTTAATTCCCCACACACGAGATTACTATGTGGTGGATGTCCTCCCCTGGGGTGGGATGGGTGGGTTTACTGGGCCCACAGTAATTGGCGCAAGCTGTTACGGTGTCCCTGCCTGTTGGCGAATCTAATAAATTAACACGAACCCAAAGGATGTATTTTCAGAGCATTTACAAAATTCTTATTCTCTGAGATCATATGACTGGCGCTGAAGTCTCTTGGACACACACAAAACTCTCTCCCAGTCCCCTGTATACTTTACTGAATCTCAAAGATAAGTGAATATGGTTAGTGTTATGTTTATCTATAGAGGAGCTGAAGTCAAGTTAATTCTAATCTCCACTAAAGTGATGTCTTAGGTTTCATTTTCAGAGGGTTATTAATATTCTTTAAACCAATTCTTATTTGATTGTGGATTAGATGCACAATTTCAGAGACTTACAATGGGTGGGGAAAAAATAGGCGAAAAAAAATTTCAGAAGAGGGGGGTAGGGTGAGGGAGGTTGTCATATGTTGTTCAAATTCAAAATCTCCAGACTTCAGTTGTATACAAGAAATGTAGAGGTTGATGTCTCTGAAAATGAATGTTAATTGCTAATAGTATGGTGTGCTCTTTAAGAAGTTGGCAGCAGAAGAGTTGAAAAACGAGTGTTCTTTTTATCTTATTTTTTTATTTATTTATTTTTTTACTCTGAGGGAGCCCAATATCTATAAGCCCCGTGGTTTCTCTTTGCGCTTCCTCGCCACTTTTATTTGTTTTTTGTGTGACTGTCTTGTTTTTATCGTTATTTGCATTTTGTGGTGAAAAATATTATTTGTATTTTGTGGTAAATAAATAAATAAATAAATAAATAAAAATAATAATAAATAAATTTACTGCTTTCTTCACGTTGTCATGACGGCGCCTAACAAAAAAATTCAACATTGTCGACTATTTCAAACAAAAGCAAATTCAGGTTTCCCCGTAAATAGAAAATTTCAAAACGTGGGGTCAAAGTCAAGATCAGCCCACTTCGATTGCTTATGCCCAAATCTTCATTGACTTATTCTGGACCAAAATTACGAACAACCACAATATAAAGTTAACTAAATGAGCATTCATATCAGAAGCTCGGATTTGTGTGCAGAGTGAAAATTTTTTGAATGGGAATAGTTCAAATGGTAATGGTTTGAATTGTACTAACCTTGTGAGTTGCACCTGCCCAGTCTTAGATATGCTTCAAGAAACTATTCCAATATGCATGTCACAACTTCCCCCGCTCGACGCCATATTTACTAGTTAGTATTCCCATCATGCATCGCTTTTCGTCTGGGAATTAGTGTAGTTTCATAGTTGAATTGGAGCAACAATGCGGCGACTTCGGGTGAAAATTAGTAAGAAATTACAATTAAAAATCTAAGATCTTCAGTGCTCTCTAGGAGTTTCAGTAAATATGGTTCACTTCACCATCAAGGGAAACTATACGCAGTTCCATAGCAATTTTATCAGCGACTTTTTAGCGGAATGAGGCTTAAACAACTAGCCCTCCGAGAGAGTGTATCATAGTAAGATAATCAGGATGAATAAATGATTTCCAGGGTGAACAGCGGGGGGAGGGGTCAGGTAGATTTTGTGACACAAACAAAATCCTTCGACCCCGCCACCTCCCCTGGCGATACAAAGTAATGACCGGTTCTTTTTCAAGTAAAACTACAGATCACTTAACACGAGACACTCGAAGATATGTTGAGCGGAGTTTATTTACAGCCCAAAAAATACAAATTTCATCTTGATAAGCCACTGTAATAATAATATTTTGTAAATAATTTTTCATCGAAATAACTTTGTCTCTCTTAAATTATAAGAATCTTTACGTATGATGCACGATCCTCGCATATATTCATCGTATAAAAATCTTTGTTGTTGATAGTTTATTTTTGATAAAAATTGATAATCAATCCCCAATTAAGGGAAATCGCTAAAGTCCGGACATAAAATTGTCTCATACAGTGTTATATCTGATTTAATAATAATAATTTTAATGAGATATATGTCCTTCTGAATGCTTCAAACCGGGAGGCATTTCATGGCAATATGGGTAATAAAAGCCAAAAATGAAAGGACTCACGTCCTTGCTACATCCTCTATAAATTAAAAGATCTCTCTTCAGCTTCCACACATAATTTAAAACCAAAGCGCTCATAAATCAGGAGCTTTAGTGAGTTAATGGGGATCAAAACCTTCCTCTGTCAGGCGGCGATGAAGAACCTTCGTGCATATGAGCATTTCAAAGAGATGCATCCTGCGAACAAACTTCAGCTTAAAAAAAAAAAAGGACGAGAAAACGCGCAGAGTAAGCAAAAACGAACCAAAAAACACCGAAAACGACGACGACAAAAAGCTATATTTTCTTGTTGTACAAGACACTGGTGGGAATGTGGGAAAGTTTTTTTTTCCAGTCCTCTGATGATAGAAGCTGACGACCTTTCCCTTCCAAGCAGGGTTGGGTACCGTTTTCTTTTCCTTCTCGTCTCCGAGTTTGCCGCCTTCTTTTACATTCTAGCCTAAGGAGTTGCCATTACAGAATCCCTTGGCAGAATTTCAACACGAGCCTATTTAAAACCGTTTAAGTTCCTAGTAGAATGGTAAAATTAATATCAAGCTAGCATGATACTACAAACACAAAATTTTGTCGATTGTAAAATAGAGCCTGAAAAGGCCATAGGCTATTCGAAATAGTTCGAAATATTCTACAGCGCAAACTTAACTAATTTCAAAGCGATTCAAATTATATAACCTACTGTGCTAAGTGGAAAGCACTTTGCTCTTTGCTATTATTCAAAGGACCTTTGATTGCCTGGGTCATAGTGTAATAATCACTGGAAATACTCGAGACGTAGAGCATCTGAGTTCGATATATTTGTTTGAAAGAGAGATATTCTCTTCAATCTTGAAGGTTCTTCATTCATGCTGATATAAACTTCTCCACTCCAGTAAGAATTACACATCTGTCACAAAACTACTAGTCGTGTCCATTCGATGGAATACAGGTTGCACCGTTTCTTTCGAGTCCTGTCTCTCAAGCGTTGTCACTTCATTTTCCGAAGCGGACTCGAGGTTCCGAACATTTGGCGACGTTGACGCATCCGTCGGCCAGCGTCGGTACCAAACCGCTGAAATCTGGCACGAAGGTTGTTCCGATTCGGATACATGACGTTCTTTCGAGTGAGACCTTCTTCTCTCATCAGAAGGTTGACCGAAACAAAATTCCACTACTCCATCCCTGCCGGGAAGTCCCGGATAAGGAGGTAGATCTTCGTCATCCGACTCTGGGTCCCCCAGTAAGTGGCTGATTTCTCGATGAAGGTGTGGAACGCCAGAGTAACCACGTGACTGCTGACGTTCCTTTGAGGGGAAAAGATCAGGAGAAGCCATAACTGCAAAGGAATAATTGCAAAATTTGCTGTCATATCTCAACTCAGCATAAACACATGCTATGGGTAACGGAATGAGGGAATGGGCAGCCATTGCTATTTTCCATCAAAAAGCAAAAGGGTATCCATAACATTTTGTCGAATATAGATAGGCTGTTCTTCAGGATGCTTAACACACACATGTCTCACCCATATCCCTCTGGGATTTCAAGCATTACCTAAATCATAAGATGGCGGGGCATTAACGTGATGGACGTCGAAAGAAGCAGTGCTGGCCACTTCTGATATCCGGCTCTGAGCTCGTTGGCGCCGCAACTTGCGAGTGTGGAACACGGCCAGAATACTGAGCACGATGAAAACGACACCACAAGTCGCACCAATCATTATTCCGGTAAAGTGATTCCTTGTTTCTCCGTCTGAAAAACAAAGAATTTTTCTTAGTTTTCATATAAAACAAATCGGGGTTTAAGAAGAGACTGGCACTTTGTAAAACACGTTTCACTCATCGTTCTTTCACTAGTCATGCTTGCGCGTGCCGAAGACGAGACTATCTAAGGCTGCGTTCACACTTGGTGCCCGAGCATTAACCCGGGCCCAAAATGGTCCTGTGTCAGACACTGAGTACCAGATATAGCAATGCCGGGTTCAGTGCCATTGTTCAAGGTCAAGTGCATTAGCGAAGACGAGGGCTAGACCAATCGTGAACAAGTTTCATCACATAATATAACAGTTTGTTTAATAAAATTACATAACTTAAACATTGTTTATAATTTTCTGATTCACTTTTTGGGTTGAAATCCGAGAACCCAACGAGAATTATAGAATTTTTTCGCGACTCAAAACGCGTTCTGAAGAGCTCGACGTTTTTGCACTTATTGATCACAGGATGCGAACGAAAGTGTTTAACAGCAATGAATTTCTCAGGAAGTCACGGCTTGGCAGAAAAGATCAAAACAAACAAATATGCAGTTTCTCTCACTCCTACTAAAATTTCCAACCGGAAATGGTACTTGACACTAACGTAAACCGGAAGTATTTCATTGGTCAGGGATATCAGAGAGGTGTGAATTGTTTTTCGTTTTTAATTCATCTTAAATTTCCTCCTTGAACAGTGGCCTTTACAATCTCCGTTCTCGTGGTTTAAGGTGCTATTTTAAAATCGGTTCAGCTTGATTACTGTAAACCAGTAGGTTTAAATCAAGGAAAATTTCGACGAAACTGTCATTATTCAAAGCTAGAATTTTAATCAGAAAGCAGTCAAATTGCGTAGGTGGGGGAGGAAGGCGAAAAGAAAGCAGTGAATCAAAAATAAAAAACAACATTTAATCGTAGATCATTTGCTTAGAGGTAAAAAAACAAAACAAAACAAAACAAAACAAACAAATTAAACCATAACAAAAGGCTCTCGAAAAAATCAGTACAAAAGGTTTATTTCTCATTTAACGACCGCGATTTCGAAATTCTTGTCAACCATCAGAAAAGCCGAGATTACCCGATAGCCGCTGGTGAATTGCTTGCATAATTGACATTCAATGATTTCCTTTTAGTGTCGTAATCACATTCGACAAAGAGCAAGACAAAGAATATTTTGCCCCAAAACGTCAATGAAGATATCGTATCCATGGTGAGTAACTGAGTCACCTGGTATCCAGTCACGTAACAGTTCTAATAAATAACAACATTTTTTCTAAAGTTTCATGCAACGGGGATATAGCTCAGTGGTAGAGCATTCGACTGCAGATCGAGAGGTCCTTGGTTCAACTCCGAGTGTCCCCTTGCACAAATATTTTCCTCTTTCTTTTTTCGATTAAAATCATTACATGACTTTGGTGAAATGGACAATTACAGTATTCCAATCACGTAAAAATTAGTTTCCTGGTGTATATAACAACAAATAAAAAACAAAAATTCTTATCATGTTTTCCTTGAAAACTAAAAATTGAGTCAAGAAGTTCAGGGAAAGAAAAAGAAGAAAAGAAGGATTATGTCGTCACACAAACATCGGCAACTCTGAGACTTTGACCTACATGTATGTGCTTCACCACAAAAAAAATTGAGTCGAGAAGTTCAGGGAAAGAAAATAAGAAAGAAAAAAAAAGGAAGAAAAAAAGGATTATGTCATCGCACAAACATCGGCAGCTCTGAGACTTGATCTACATGTATGTGCTTCACCACAAAATAAATTGAGTCGAGAAGTTCAGGGAAAGAAAAAAAAAAGAAGAAAAAAAGGATTATGTCATTACACAAACATCGGCTGCTCTGAGACTTGACCTACATGTATGTGCTTCACCACAAAAAAAAGAATTGAGTCGAGAAGTTCAGGGAAAGAAAAGAAGAAAGAAAAAAGAAGAAAAAAAGGATTATGTCATCACACAAACATCGGCAGCTGAGACTTGACCTACATGTATGTGCTTCACCACAAAAAAAATTGAGTCGAGAAGTTCAGGGAAAGAAAATAAGAAAGAAAAAAGAAGAAAAAAAGGATTATGTCATCACACAAACATCGGCAGCTGAGACTTGACCTACATGTATGTGCTTCACCACAAAAAAAATTGAGTCGAGAAGTTCAGGGAAAGAAAATAAGAAAGAAAAAAAAAAGAAGAAAAAAGGATTATGTCATCACACAAACATCGGCAGCTCTGACACTTGACCTACATGTATGTCCTTCACCACATGTGAGTGAGATACACTGTACCTGGTTTTTCGCTTTGGACACTGAACACTGCCTCAAACCCCCGGCCCGCATATTGTCTGTTGGATCGGAACTCTATTCGGAGCTTGTTTGTCTTCGATTTGATGGTGGACGGGATGACTCGGCCACAATATCGGCCAATCACCGGGGACCAGCTGGCCAAGCCATTGAACACTTTAGCATGGTCGGAGTCATCTGGACATACCTGTGAATCCCCCTCCACATCAAACTCCCTAGGGAGGAAAACCAGCGTCGTAAGGGTCACCCAGATAACAAATTGTAGAAAATTAACGGTCAGTAATAAACATGACTTGAAGAAACGCGAATTGACGGAGAAAATACTTTGTAGTAGAAGAAAATTAAAAGACATGCTAGAACGTCAAAATGGAACTACGAGCAGAATTTGTGGAGACCGCAGGGGCACACCATTAATGTTAATCCCTAACGCAAAAAGTAGTCGTGGAACTGTCGCTAAACGTAGTTGCAATGAGAAAGAATCTTACCTTTTCGCCTTTTCAAGGCCTTATCTATCATACTCTGCTTTGCGAAAGTCTATTGTTTTCACTATTCACTCTTATAACAAACACGAAATTTACCATACTTCTTTTTCGAGGTAATTGACTGGTTCCAAAAGAGAAAAAATTATTTGAAGTGGATCGCACAGTAAAATTAAAACTTCAAGGTCACCAAAATTATCGCGTCACCTTATTGAGGCCCAAAAATCCAGCTTTCCAAATTCGCATTGTGAGCACGTAAGAATATGGGTGTTCAAACTAGTGTAGGTGGGGGGTGGGG